GTTCGATGTCCGATACGTGATCTGTATGAGCATCAATCAAATCATTGTGTGCCTCTATGATGTCTGCTATATTGGTCTCAATATGGCGGATTCTGCGTTCCTGTCTTTGCACCAAAGCAGTAATTTGGGTTAATGGCGCAGAGATATCATTATGTAGAGTTTGGCGCAGTGATGTTAGCATGTTCTTCATGCAGATTTCGGTCAGTGGTTGGTCAGACGCTGGAAATGCGTCTATGTCAGGCAAGGAGGGATGTGGTGGCGGAAGGTTTAGGGCCTGGCAAGTGTCATCAGGGTCGCTTTCTAGCCGTGGCCGTGATTTAGCTGGGCTGCAGGTCGTGGGTGACAGTGGGGGTGACAACTCACCAGGGTCCCCTGGATAAAGCCGGTGCTGCAGCCTGGGATCCGCGCTCTGGGACCTGTAGTCCTCCTCCTGGCCGTTGCTGCCTCCCCGCATGTCTGTATGGCGGCCGCCATCTTGGTTTCCCGGCATAACAGCCGGGAAGAAGTTTGTTACCTTCCCTGGTTGCCCCGTACTCTTTTTCCTGCGGGGCATGTCTAGTGGGCTGCGGGCACACTCCTGGAGCTGCCGTGTGCTCTTAGTTTTCCCTGGGGTTTTGAGTGAGCCGCTTCAATGCTGGCGGGTGGACGGAGCAGGAACTATCGCGTGTCCATCCTCGAGCCGGCCGCGCATGCGCCCCTAGTAGAATATTTTATATAATATTACTCTGCAGATAGAAGTATATGTAATGGTTTTATTAAGTATATATATTGATTAGGTTTTACTTTAGGTATGTATACTTACTAAAGTTCCCATTTTGGATATCAAGTTAGTCATGTAGGAAGGGAATGGCATTAGGGTTTATATTTTATGAATATACATATTGTTTGCTGGGGAAACGCTGGTAGCGATATTAGGGAATTTGGAACGTTTTTATATTGTTTAAAAATGGTGGATTGAGCCTTAGCAATCATTAGGGAATGGAGATAAATATGAGCGAGGACATGACGAACACACCCCTTATGAATAAGTCAAGGATGTGACGAAACGCATCAAGGGACGTGACGTCAGGACGTTGTACAGTGACCGGAAGTGCCCAAGTGGCCATCTTAACTGAGGGAATATTGCAATTGGCGTTCCTGGAAGCTGCTGTGCAGGCGGGAATGGGAATTTTGAAAGGATTTTAGCGTTTTTATTAGAGATGAGCGAATCGAAGTAGGCGAAGTGGAATTCGTTTCGAATATTAGGAAAATTTCGATTTGCGTCGAATCCGAAAATGAGCAGACTTCGGATGCGCGAATCGAAATTTTTCCTAAAATAGCGGCGACATGTGCGGCGACGGAGCGGGGATGTCTGGGAAGGCGCGCAGACAAGGCACGCTGACCCATAATGGGTTCATTCATGACATGTGATCGCATTAGCCAATCAGCAGCCAGCCAGCCAGCACAGTGTAATGGTCGAGCTATAAATGGCGGCCATTTTAGAATTCTCCATTTGCCTCCAGTCATTCAACAGAGGCAGACCTGGCTGTATTCAGGGAGAGAGTTAGGGACAGAGAAACGTTACTTAGGGACACAGAAACGTTAGTTAGGGCCACAGAATCGTTACTTAGGGCCACAGAAACGTTACTTAGGGCCACAGAAACGTTACTTAGGGCCACAGAATCGTTAGTTAGGGCCACAGAAACGTTACTTAGGGACACAGAATTGTTACTCAGGGACAGACAGAATTGTTACTGAGGGATACAGAATTGTTACTGAGGGCCACAGAATCGTTACTTAGGGCCACAGAAACGTTACTTAGGGTCACAGAATTGTTACTTAGGGACAGACACAGAATTGTTACTGAGGGACACAGATTTGTTACTGAGGGCCACAGAAACGTTACTTAGGGCCACAGAAACGTTACTTAGGGCCACAGAATCGTTACTTAGGGCCACAGAAACGTTACTTAGGGCCACAGAATTGTTACTTAGGGACAGACACAGAATTGTTATTGAGGGACACAGAATTGTTAATGAGGGCCACAGAACCGTTACTTAGGGCCACAGAAACGTTACTTAGGGCCACAGAATTGTTACTTAGGGACAGACACAGAATTGTTACTGAGGGACACAGATTTGTTACTGAGGGCCAAAGAAACGTTACTTAGAGCCACAGAAACGTTACTAAGGGCCACAGAATCGTTACTTAGGGCCACAGAAACGTTACTTAGGGACACAGAATTGTTACTCAGGGATAGACATGAGAATTGTTATTGAGGGACACAGAATTGTTAATGAGGGCCACAGAACCGTTACTTAGGGCCACAGCAACGTTACTTAGGGCCACAGAATTGTTACTTAGGGACAGACACAGAATTGTTACTGAGGGACACAGATTTGTTACTGAGGGCCACAGAAACGTTACTTAGGGCCACAGAAACGTTACTTAGGGCCACAGAAACGTTACTTAGGGCCACAGAATCGTTACTTAGGGCCACAGAAATGTTACTTAGGGCCACAGAATTGTTACTTAGGGACAGACACAGAATTGTTACTGAGGGACACAGAATTGTTACTGAGGGCCACAGAACCGTTACTTAGGGCCACAGAAACGTTACTTAGGGGCACAGAAACGTTACTTAGGGCCACAGAAACATTACTTAGGGCTACAGAAACGTTACTTAGGGCCACAGAAACGTTACTTAGGGCTACAGAAACGTTACTTAGGGCCACAGAATCGTTACTTAGGGACACAGAAACGTTACTTAGGGCCACAGAAACTTTACTTAGGGCCACAGAATTGTTACTTAGGGACAGACACAGAATTGTTACTGAGGGACACAGAATTGTTACTGAGGGCCACAGAACCGTTATTTAGGGCCACAGAAACGTTACTTAGGGACACAGAATTGTTACTCAGGGACAGACACAGAATTGTTACTGAGGGATACAGAATTGTTACTGAGGGCCACAGAACCGTTATTTAGGGCCACAGAATCGTTACTTAGGGCCACAGAATCGTTACTTAGGGACACAGAAACGTTACTTTGGGACACAGAATTGTTACTCAGGGACAGACACAGAATTGTTACTGAGGGACACAGAATTGTTACTGAGGGACACAGAATTGATACTCAGGGACAGACACAGAATTGTTACTCAGGGACAGACACAGAATTGTTACTGAGGGACACAGAATTGTTACTGAGGGCCACAGAACTGTTACTTAGGGCCACAGAAACGTTACTCAGGGACACAGAATTGTTACTCAGGGACAGACAAAGAATTGTTACTCAGGGACAGACACAGAATTGTTACTGAGGGACAGACACAGAATTGTTACTGAGGGACACAGAATTGTTACTGAGGGACACAGAATTGTTACTCAGGGACACAGAATTGTTACTCAGGGACAGACACAGAATTGTTACTGAGGGACACAGAATTGTTACTGAGGGCCACAGAACTGTTACTTAGGGCCACAGAAACGTTACTCAGGGACACAGAATTGTTACTCAGGGACAGACACAGAATTGTTACTCAGGGACAGACACAGAATTGTTACTGAGGGACACAGAATTGTTACTGAGGAACACAGAATTGTTACTGAGGGACACAGAATTGTTACTGAGGGCCACAGAACTGTTACTTAGGGCCACAGAAACGTTACTCAGGGACACAGAATTGTTACTCAGGGACAGACACAGAATTGTTACTCAGGGACACAGAATCGTTTAATTAAAGAGTATGTCAGACAACATGCAGAGGAGTGGCAGAGGAGGCAATGTTTTAGGAGCGAGCAGACGTGGCAGCAGAGGAAGGGGTCGAGGCAGCAGTATTCGCAGCCAGATGCCAGTGCTCCCGGTGTCATCCAGTACAGTGAGGAAGAGCTAACAGAGGGCGGTCAGGAACGGGGGGAGACATCCGCCTCTTCAGCAGCCAGGCGAAGAAGTAGTGGCGAGGAGAGTGGCTCGGTAGCCGGTCTAGAGACAGGTCTGTCTCCTGACCCACACGCAGCCGAGGGGGCTAGTAGTGAGGCGGAGACCCTAATTGATGATGATGAGGCTGATCGCACTTGGCAGCCTCGTCGTCATCAGGCTATTGCTTCCGCATCATCAGGAGAAGAGGGTGGCAGCTTGGCAGCGAGCAAAACAGTCGGTGGGTTGTCTCCATCGCCACACTCTGCCATGTGCCACTTTCAGGTCTCCTCACACACTGCTGGTGTGTTCCATTTTTTGTCATAGGGTGCTGGCAGATTACGGGCCTCCCATAGCTGCTGCCAGGCCCCTAATCTGCCATGGGCCCCTGTACCGCCTCCTCATGCTGCTGCCAGGTCCACAGTGTCTCATGCCATGTGTTACTTTCAGGTCTCCTCACACTGCTGGTGTGTTCCATTTTTTGTCATAGGGTGCTAGCAGATTACGGGCCTCCCATTGCTGCTGCCAGGCCCCTAATCTGCCATGGGCCCCTGTACCGCCTCCTCATGCTGCTGCCAGGTCCACAGTGTCTCATGCCATGTGCCACTTTCAGGTCTCCTCACACTGCTGGTGTGTTCAATTTTTTGTCATAGGGTGCTGGCAGATTACGGGCCTCCCATAGCTGCTGCCAGGCCCCTAATCTGCCATGGGCCCCTGTACCACCTCCTCATGCTGCTGCCAGGTCCACAGTGTCTCAGGGTCCCTGTACGGCCTCCCATTGCTGCTGTCTCCATCGCCACACTCTGCCATGTGCCACTTTCAGGTCTCCTCACACTGCTGGTGTGTTCCATTTTTTGTCATAGGGTGCTGGCAGATTACGGGCCTCCCATAGCTGCTGCCAGGCCCCTAATCTGCCATGGGCCCCTGTACCGCCTCCTCATGCTGCTGCCCAGGTCCACAGTGTCTCATGCCATGTGCCACTTTCAGGTCTCCTCACACTGCTGGTGTGTTCCATTTTTTTGTCATCGGGTGCTGGCAGAACACGAGCCTCCCATAGCTGCTGCCAGGCCCCTAATCTGCCATGGGCCCCTGTACCGCCTCCTCATGCTGCTGCCAGGTCCAGAGTGTCTCATGGGTCCCTGTACGGCCTCCCATTGCTGCTGTCTCCATCGCCACACTCTGCCATGTGCCACTTTCAGGTCTCCTCACACACTGCTGGTGTGTTCAATTTTTTGACATAGGGTGCTGGCAGATTACGGGCCTCCCATAGCTGCTGCCAGGCCCCTAATCTGCCATGGGCCCCTGTACCGCCTCCTCATCTGCTGCCAGGTCCAGAGTGTTCTCATGGGTCCCTGTACGGCCCCCTCATTGCTGCTGTCTCCATCGCCACACTCTGCCATGTGCCACTTTCAGGTCTCCTCACACACTGCTGGTGTGTTCCAATTTTTTGACATAGGGTGCTGGCAGATTACGGGCCTCCCATAGCTGCTGCCAGGCCCCTAATCTGCCATGGGCCCCTGTACCGCCTCCTCATGCTGCTGCCAGGTCCACAGTGTCTCATGCCATGTGCCACTTTCAGGTCTCCTCACACTGCTGGTGTGTTCCATTTTTTTCATAGGGTGCTGGCAGAATACGGGCTCCCATAGCTGCTGCCAGGCCCCTAATCTGCCATGGGCCCCTGTACCGCCTCCTCATGCTGCTGCCAGGTCCAGAGTGTCTCATAGGTCCCTGTACGGCCTCCCATTGTGCTGCTGTCTCATCATCGCCACACTCTGCCATGTGCCACTTTCAGGTCTCCTCACACACTGCTGGTGTGTTAAATTTTTTGACATAGGGTGCTGGCAGATTACGGGCCTCCCATAGCTGCTGCCAGGCCCCTAATCTGCCCATGGGCCCCTATACTGCCTCCTCATGCTGCTGCCAGGTCCAGAGTGTCTCATGGGTCCCTGTACGGCCTCCCATTGCTGCTGTCCTCCATCGCCACACTCTGCATGTGCACTTTCAGGTCTCCTCACACACTGCTGGTGTGTTCCATTTTTTGTCATAGGGTGCTGGCAAGATTACGGGCCCTCCCATAGCTGCTGCCAGGCCCTAAATCTGCCATGGGCCCCACCGCCTCCATCATGCTGCTGCCAGGTCCACAGTGTCTCATTGGCCCATGTGCCACTTTCAGGTCTCCTCACACTGCTGGTGTGTTCCATTTTTTGACATAGGGTGCTGGCAGAATACGGGCCTACCCATAGCTGCTGGGCCCCTAATCTGCTGGCCCCCTGTAGCCGATGCTACAGGCTTCCAGGTCTCTCCATGGGTCCCTGTACGGCCTCCCCATTAGCTGCCTGCCCCACACTCCCATGGCCCCAGGTCTCCTAATCTGCCATGCCTGGGTCTCTCATGGGTCCCTGTACGGGGCCCTGTACATTGTGCTTTCAGGCCTCCTCGGGCCTCCCCATAGCGGCTGCCAGGCTCATGGGCCCATTTGCCTCCCATTGCTGCTGTCGCCACACCAGGTCACAGTGTCTCATGCATGTTGCCACATTGGCCCCTATACCGCCTCCTTCTGCCGAGGTCCAGAGTCTCTCATGGGTCCCTGTACGGCCCTCCCATTGTCTGCTGTCTCACATCGCCCACACTCTGCATGGCCACTGTCAGGTTCTCCTCACACACTGTGGTGTGTTCAATTTTTGTCATAGGGTGCTGGCAGATTACGGGCCTCCCATAGCTGCTGCCAGGCCCCTATCTGCCATGGGGGCCCCTGTACCCGCCTCCTCATGCTGCTGCCAGGTCCACAGTGTCTCATGCCATGTGCCACTTTCAGGTCCTCCTCACACTGCTGGTGTGTTCAATTTTTTGTCATAGGGTGCTGGCAAATTACGGGCCTCCCATAGCTGCTGCCGGCGCCGTAATCTGCCATGGGCCCCTGTACCGCCTCCTCATGCTGGCTGCCAGGTCCAGGCGAATGTAGTCACACAGGGGAGGAACTTCTCAGTGTAATGAACAGAAGAGAAATCGACAGATGGCTGTCTCCGCGCAAAATGAAAATCGGAAACCATGTTGACCGACAACGGAAAGAACATGGTGTCTGCTCTGCGTCAAGGAAGGTTGTGCCATGCGCCATGCATGGCTCACGTGTTTCAATCTGGTTTTCAAGCGGTTCCTAAAATCCACCATCCCACTGCAAGACACATCCTTAAAAATGTCACGTAAACTTTGCATGCATTTCAGCCATTCCTACACCGCGCAAAGCACACCCTCCTTGAGCTTGCAGCGATGGCAGAACGGAATTCCACAGCATCGCCTGATCTGCAACGTTGCAACAAGATGGAATTCAACCCTACACATGGTAGACCGCCTTTACGAACAGAGAAAGGCCTTCACCGATTTCCTGATGTTACAAGCGGAATAAAGGTAGCTCGCCCGCCCGACCTCCTGTCGCCGCTCCCCTGTGTAACTTCGATGTCAGCCATTGGCAGCTCATGCGTGACACCTGCCGCAGTTTGCTCAGGCCCTTTGAGGAGGCCACGCTATTCGTGAGTCGGCAGGACTATGGGATGAACGACGTCATTCCTCTGTTGCACGTCCTGGAACAAATGCTGTTAACCAATGGCTGGTCAGGGTGCGGTAGAACTGGCGCACAGATCTCAACGCCACATGACCCTGTGGGGGCAGGACAGGAAGAAGAGGAGGAGGTAGAGGAGGACATTGGTGCTCAGGAATTGGTTTTGAGTGAAATGGGTTGGTTTTTTCCACTCAGCGGACAGGAGTGGAGGAGCAGGAGCATCTGGTAGAGAGAGGAGGAGGAGGAGACAGAGGACCCAAACGCACCGTGGCAGTATGCTGTGGAGATGGACGGGCAGGGAGTCCCTCGCATTCCTTGGCACAAATGGCCCATAGCATGCTTGCTTGCTTGCGTAGCGACAGCCGAATAATAACCATCAGACAGAGGGATGACTTTTGGCTGTCCACCTTGTTGGACCCTAGATACCGTTCAAAAATGGTGGCCTTTTTCACACCTGCTGAGAGGGAGGCCAAAAAATAACGTACTATAAAAATCCACCTATGTAGTCAGCTGGTCTCTGCCTTTCTGCGCCAACGTCCATCCTCAGTTAACACTGTGGGCCCCCCCTGTGCGCTCAGGCGTTCCGCTGCCATGGCAGCAGGGGAGGGGTGGGGTGGTAGGAGCAGTGGCAGCTCCACCAGCAGCGGCTGCCTCAGCCTGCAGTCGATGATGAGTAGCTTTCTTCACCAGCGCAGTGAGGAAACTACTAACCAGCCACAGCAGCAGCAGCATCAGGTGGACCTGGAGCAGGACCTCAAACAACAGGCTTAGGCCTACTTGGACAGCACCCTGCCAACCGAGGTAGACAATCCCCTTGACTACTGGCAACGAAACTTGACCTTTGGCCCCAACTAGCTGAATTTGCCCTTGAAAGGCTGTCAGGCCCGGCCAGTAGTAGCTTGGCATCGGAGCGCGTGTTTAGTGCCGGCAGGAGGTATTGTAACTCCGCGGAGGACACGACTGTCCACCCAAAGTGTGGAGAAGACTCACGTTTGTGAAAATGAATCAGGCGTGGATTAGTTTGGATTTCAAACCACCAGTTCCTGACACAACTGACTAAATCCGCCATGAATCATGCCCCTGCCATGTGTAGGCCACTTTCACGTCTCCTCACACTGCTGGTGTGTTCTATTTTTTCGATATAGGGTGCTGGCAGATTACGGGCCTCCCCATAGCTGCTGCCAGGCCCCTAATCTGCCATGGGCCCCTACACGCCCCCCCCGCCTCCTCATGATGCTGCCAAGTCCAGAGTCTCCTCATGGGTCCCTGTACAGCCTCCCATTGCTGCTGTCTCCATCGCCACACTCTGCCATGTGCCACTTTCAGGTCTCCTCACACACTGCTGGTGTGTTCAATTTTTTGTCATAGGGTGCTGGCAGATTACGGGCCATCCCATAGCTGCTGCCAGGCCCTAAATCTGCCATGGGCCCCTATATATACCGCCTCCTCATGCTGCTGCCAAGTCCACAGTCTCTCATGGGTCCCTGTACGGCCTCCCATTGCTGCTGTCTCAATCGCCACACTCTGCCATGTGCCACTTTCAGGTCTCCTCCACACACTGCTGGTGTGTTAAATTTTTTGTCATAGGGTGCTGGCAGATTACGGGCCTCCCATAGCTGCTGCCAGGGCCCCTAATCTGCCAAGGGCCCCTATACCGCCTCCTCATGCTGCTGCCAAGTCCAGAGTCTCTCATGGGTCCCTGTACGGCCTCCCATTGTGCTGCTGTCTCCATCGCCACACTCTGCCATGTGCCACTTTCAGGTCTCCTCACACACTGCTGGTGTGTTCAATTTTTTGTCATAGGGTGCTGGCAGATTACGGGCCTCCACTAGCTGCTGCTGCCAGGCCCCTAATCTGCCATGGGCCCCTGTACCGCCTCCTCATGCTGCTGCCAGGTCCACAGTGTCTCATGCCATGTGCCACTTTCAGGTCTCCTCACACTGCTGGTGTGTTCATTTTTTTGACATAGGGTGCTGGCAGATTACGGGCCTCCCATAGCTGCTGCCAGGCCCCTAATCTGCCATGGGCCCCCCTATACCGCCTCCTCATGCTGCTGCCAGGTCCAGAGTCTCTCATGGGTCCCTGTACGGCCTCCCATTGCTGCTGTCTCCATCGCCACACTCTGCCATCTTCAATTTTTTGTCATAGGGTGCTGGCAGATTACGGGCCTCCCATAGCTGCTGCCAGGCCCCTAATCTGCCATGGGCCCCTATACCGCCTCCTCATGCTGCTGCCAAGTCCAGAGTCTCTCATGGGTCCCTGTACGGCCTCCCATTGCTGCTGTCTCCATCGCCACACTCTGCCATGTGCCACTTTCAGGTCTCCTCACACACTGCTGGTGTGTTCATTTTTTGTCATAGGGTGCTGGCAGATTACGGGCCTCCCATAGCTGCTGCCAGGCCCCTAATCTGCCATGGGCCCCCTATACCGCCTCCTCATGCTGCTTGCCAAGTCCAGAGTCTCTCATGGGGTCCCTGTACGGCCTCCCCATTGCTGCGTCTCCATCGCCACACTCTGCCATGTGCCACTTTCAGATCTCCTCACACTGCTGGTGTGTTACATTTTTTGTCATAGGGTGCTGGCAGATTACGGGCCTCCCATTGCTGCTGCCAGGCCCGTAATCTGCCATGGGCGCCCCGTACCGACTCCTCATGCTGTGACGTTGCAACAAGGTGGAATTCAACCCTACATATGTTAGACCGCCTTTACGAACAGCGAAAGGCCATCACAGATTTCCTGATGTTACAAGCGGATAAAGGTACTCCCTGTGTAACTTAGATGTCAGCCATTGGCAGCTCATGCGTGACACCTGCGCTTGCTCAGGCCCTTTGAGGAGGCCACGCTATTCGTGAGTCGGCAGGACTATGGGATGAACGACGTCATTCCTCTGTTGCACGTCCTGGAACAAATGCGGTGTTAACAATGGCTGGTCAGGGTTGCGGTAGACGTGGCGCACAGATCTCAACGCCACATGACCCCTGTGTGGGGCAGGACAGGAAGAAGAGGAGGAGGTAGAGGAGGACATTGGTGCTCAGGAATTATTGAGTGAAATGGGTGGGTTTTTTCCACTCAGCGGACAGGAGCAGGACCAGGAGCATCTGGTAGAGGAGGAGGAGGAGGAGACAGAGGACCCAAACGCACCGTGGCAGTATGCTGTGGAGATGGGAGGCAGGGAGTCCCTCGCATTCTTTGGCACAAATGGCCCATAGCATGCTCGCTTGCTTGCGTAGCGACAGCCGAATAATAACCATCAGACAGAGGGATGACTTTTGGCTGTCCACCCTTGTTGGACCCTCGCTATACGCACCGTTCAAAAATGGTGGCCTTTTTCACACCTGCTGAGAGGGAGGCCAAAATAACGTACTCTATATAAAAACCACCTATGTAGTCAGCTGGTCTCTGCCTTTCTGCGCCAACGTCCATCCTCAGACACTGTGGGCCCTGTGCGCTCGCGTTCCGCTGCCATGGCAGCAGGGGAGGGGTGGGGTGGTAGGAGCAGTGGCAGCTCCACCAGCAGTGGCTGCCTCAGTCTGCAGTCGATGATGAGTAGCTTTTCCCTTCACCAGCGCAGTGAGGAAACTACTAACCAGCCGCAGCAGCAGCAGCATCAGGTGGACCTGGAGCAGGACCTCAAACAACAGGCTTAGGCCTACTTGGGACAGCACCCTGCCAACCGAGGTAGACAATCCCCTTGACTACTGGGCAACGAAACTTGACCTTTGGCCCCAACTAGCTGAATTTGCCCTTGAAAGGCTGTCATGCCCGGCCAGTAGCTTGGCATCGGAGCGCGTGTTTAGTGCGGCAGGAGGTATTGTAACTCCGCGGAGGACACGACTGTCCACCCAAAGTGTGGAGAGACTCACGTTTTGTGTGAAAATGAATCAGGCGTGGATTAGTCTGGATTTCAAAACCACCAGTTCCTGACACAACTGACTAAATCCGCCATGAATCATGCCCCTGCCATGTGCCACTTTCACGTCTCCTCACACTGCTGGTGTGTTCCATTTTTTTGTCATAGGGTGCTGGCAGATTACGGGCCTCCCATAGCTGCTGCCAGGCCCCTAATCTGCCATGGGCCCCTATACTGCCTCCTCATGCTGCTGCCAAGTCCAGAGTCTCTCATGGGTCCCTGTACGGCCTCCCATTGCTGCTGTCTCCATCGCCACACTCTGCCATGTGCCACTTTCAGGTCTCCTCACACACTGCTGGTGTGGTTCAATTTTTTTGTCATAGGGTGCTGGCAGATTACGGGCCTCCCATAGCTGCTGCCAGGCCCCTAATCTGCCATGGGCCCCTATACCCGCCTCCTCATGCTGCTGCCAAGTCCAGAGTCTCTCATGGGCCCCTGTACGGCCTCCCATTGCTGCTGTCTCCATCGCCACACTCTGCCATGTGCCACTTTCAGGTCTCCTCACACTGCTGTTGTGTTCCATTTTTTTGTCATAGGGTGCTGGCAGATTACGGGCCTCCCATTGCTGCTGCCAGGCCCGTAATCTGCCATGGGCCCCTGTACCGCCTCCTCATGCTGCTGCCAGGTCCAGAGTCTCTCATGGGTCCCTGTACGGCCTCCCATTGCTGCTGTCTCATCGCCACATCCCCTCTGCCATGTGCCACTTTCAGGTCTCCTCACACACTGCTGGTGTGTTCCATTTTTTGTCATAGGGTGCTGCCAGGCCCCTAATCTGCCATGGGCCCCTGTACCGCTCCTCATGCTGCTGCCAGGTCCACAGTGTCTCATGCCATGTGCCACTTTCAGGTCTCCTCACACTGCTGGTGTGTTCCATTTTTTGTCATAGGGTGCTGGCAGATTACGGGCCTCCCATAATCTGCCATGGGCCCCTGTACCGCCTCTTCATGCTGCTGCCAGGGTCCAGAGTGTGTCAATGGGTCCCTGTACGGCCTCCCATTGCTGCTGCCAGGAGGCAGCAGGGTCGCAGCAGTGTCAGTGGAGGCAAACGGCCACGGAGTAGAGCACCAGCTCCACTGCAGCCTACCACCACGGCCAGTAGTGGTGCCGGTGTGCACGGAGGAAGTAGCAGTCAGCCAGTGAGGAGTAGCGGGGGCAAAGTTTCCTACTCGGCGGTGTGGCAATTTTTCGTCAAGCCGCCCGAGGAAGTAAACGTAGCCGTATGTCGACTATGTGGCCAGAAAGTCAAGCGTGGCCAGGGGGCCCATGTTGGGGACTACAGCGTTGCGTCAGCATATGCAGCGTCGCCATTTTCGGTGGCCTGGGAAAACCGTGATAAAGATACGGGCGGTTCTGCCTTCCCCAGCCCAGGGTTCCATTTTGTCATAGGGTGCTGGCAGATTACGGGCCTCTCATTGCTGCTGCCAGGCCTTAATCTGCCATGGGCCCCTGTACCGCCTCCTCATGCTGCTGCCAGGTCCACAGTGTCTCATGCCATGTGCCACTTTCAGATCTCCTCACACTGATGGTGTGTTTACATTTTTTGTCATAGGGTGCTGGCAGATTACAGGCCTCCCATTGCTGCTGCCAGGCCCCTAATCTGCCATGGGCCCCAGTACTGCCTCCTCATGCTGCTGCCAGGTCCACAGTCTCTCATGGGTCCCTGTACGGCCTCCCATTGCTGCTGTCTCCATCGCCACACTCTGCCATGTGCCACTTTCAGGTCTCCTCACACTGCTGGTGGTGTGTTCCATTTTTTGTCATAGGGTGCTGGCAGATTTTCGGGCCTCCCATTGCTGCTGCCAGGCCCGTAATCTGCCATGGGCCCCAGTACCCTCCTCCTCATGCTGCTGCCAGGTCCACAGTCTCTCATGGGTCCCTGTACGGCCTCCCATTGCTGCTGTCTCCATCGCCACACTCTGCCATGTGCCACTTTCAGGTCTCCTCACACACTGCTGGTGTGTTCCATTTTTTGTCATAGGGTTGCTGGCAGATTACGGGCCTCCCATTGCTGCTGCCAGGTCCGTAATCTGCCATGGGCCCCCGTACCGACTCCCTCATGCTGCTGCCAGGCCCGTAAATCTGTCATGGGCCCCTGTTGTCGCTTGTTGGCATATTCCGCTCGTTCAGATGCTCCTTCTCCTGCTACTCCTCTTCACGGATTCCGTCAGCAGTCTTTCTTGGAATCCGTTTCCAAGAGACAACAGTTTGCAAGCACGCACCCGACGGTGCAGAAGCTGAACGTCCTCCTGTCCAAGTTGCTGCTGCCAGGCTCGTAATCTGTCATGCGCCCCTGTACCGCCTCCTCATGCTGCTGCCAGGTCCAGAGAGTGTGTCATGGGCCCCCGTACCGACTCCTCATGCTGCTGCCAGGCCCGTAATCTGTCATGGGCCCCTGTACCGCCTCCTCATGCTGCTGCCAGGTCCAGAGTGTGTAATGGGTCCCTGTACGGCCTCCCATTGCTGCTGCCAGGCCCGTAATCTGCCATGGGCCCCCGTACCAACTCCTCATGCTGCTTCCAGGCCCGTAATCTGTCATGGGCCCCTGTACCGCCTCCTCATGCTGCTGCCAGGTCCAGAGTGTTTCATGGGTCCCTGTACGGTCTCCCATTGCTGCTGTCTCCATCGCCACACTCTGCCATGTGCCACTTTCAGGTCTCCTCACACTGCTGGTGGTTTCCATTTTTGTCATAGGGTGCTGTATGGCCTCCCATTGCTGCTGCCTCCACCGCCACACTGTGGCTCCACACTCTGGTTTTGGCCCGTGACTGCCCAAATGAGTGAAGTGTGCGGTGATTCTAAGATCGACGGCACTCATCTGCATGTCATACTGACTGTCAGTATTATTTCTTCTTCCCCAGCAGACTCCAAGGGCATTTAAATTAAAGGTACAGTGTTCTGCACTAATATAAAGGCTCTCTGAGCCTAGAAACACCCTTTTATAAGTTAAATTCGCAGCGAAATATATTCGACTCGAATCAAAATTTTTCCCACGAATTCTCCGAATCAGTCGAATCGAATTTTTGAATACTTCGCTCATCTCTAGTTTTTATCATTCTATACATGTAAGCACAACCAATAAAAGTCTGGATATACATATTACATTATATGGTTATTGTCTCTCTTCCATGGGTGTGTACCTGTGATTGGATGGGGGAGGATATATATCTTATCTGGCATTTGGAAATAACATTGGAAGATTTAATGTTAGAGTGGTGACAATTGAATAAGGCTTTTTGATCACATGTTGATGGTTAGAGTATTCACATAGAAGTATCCATGAGATTTTCACGGAGTAATGTTTTTGTTGGAGTGTACTCAGAGTGCTGCACTATAATCACATGTTCTCAAGCAGTGTTTATATTATGTTTTTCACAATTTTTTCACGTATGTATATATTGTTACACTGAGGATAATACACTATCTCCGTTTCTGTTTTTTATGAGGTTCTCTGCGATATTGGATTTCATTTACATTTTTGGAATATCACTTTGAAGATTGCTAGAAAGATTTGATTGACACTAAAAATGATTCATGATTTAAACTTTGGACGTTCAGGGGTGAAAGTGTGATTTTTAAGTGTCAATGGAAGGGTATTAATATTTTATAAGTTTTTCACAAATTTATAAGTTTTGCACATTTAATTGAACATTTTTTTTGTAATATTTGGATACTGATTTATTCAGTTTACCTGTACTTGGCTAGACTGCCAAAAAGCCTCTCACATGTGGTATCCTCATACTCAGGAGAAGTAGCAGAATGTATTTTGGGGAGTAATTCCACATATACCCATAGCATGTGTGAGCAATAAATCATTTACGTGACAATTTTGTATAAAACAAAATATATAATTTTTTTGTAATTTTTCAAAAACGTGTGGTAAAAAAATAAATTATTCTATTGACTTAACATGCCTCTCAGCAAATAGTTTGGGGTGTCTACTTTCCAAAAAGAGGTAATTTTGGGGGGTGGGGGCGTTTTATGCCCAGCATTCACTCTTCTAACCACCTGAAGACACTTTTTGTTCACATGAAAAAAATCTGTATTTTTTGCTAGGAAATTACTTTGAACCCCCAAACATTATATATTTTTTAAAACAGACACCATAGTGAATAAAATGGTGTGGGCTGCAATTGTTTATATCACATACAGTTGCAAGAAAAAGTATGTGAACCCCTTGGGATTACGTGGAGTTTTGCATGAATTGGGCATAAAATGTGCTCTGAACGTCATCTAAGTCACAACAATAGAAGAAAACAGTCTGCTGAACATAATACTACACAAACATTAGATGTTGCCATGGTTTAATTGCACATAACATGTAAACATTCACAGTGCAGGGAGGAAAACGTATGTGAGGCCCTAGCTTAATGACTTCTCCCAGAGCTAATTGGAGCCAGGAGTGAGCCAACCTTGACTCAAATCAGTGTGATGATATTGGATGTGTTGCTGACAGCTGTCCTGCCCTTAAGAAACACACACCTGTTTTGGGTTTACTGGTTTCAAGAAGCACTGTCTGATGTGAACCATGCCTCGCAGAAAAGAGCTCTCAGAAGACCTACGATCAAGAATTGTTGACTTGCATGAAGCTGGAAAGGGTTACAAACGTATCTCCAAAAGCCTTGATGTTCATGTGTCCATGATAAGACAGACTGTCTACAAATGGAGAAAGTTTAGCACTGTTGCTACTCTCTCCCTAGGCGTGGTCGTCCTGTAAAAATGACTGCAAGAGCACAGCGCAGAATGCTGCATGAGGTAAAGAAGAATCCCAGAGTGTCAGCTAAAGACTTACAGAAATCTCTGTAAGTCTAACATTTTTGCTAACATTTTTGTTGACACATCTACAATAAGGAAAACATTAAACAAGAATGGAGTACATGGGAGGACACCACGGAGGAAGCCATTGCTGTCCAAAAAGAATATTGCAGCACGTTTGAAGTTTGCAAAAGAGCACCTGGATGTTCCACAGCACTACTGACAAAATATACTGTGGACAGATGAAACCAAGATTGAGTTGTTTGGGAAGAACACACAACACTATGTGTGGAGAAAAAAAGGCACAGCACACCAACATCAAAACCTCATCCTCACTGTAAAACATGACGGAGAGAGCATCATGGTTTGGGACTGCTTTGCTGCCTCAGGGCCTGGACGGATTGTTGTCATTGATGGGAAAATGAATTCCAGAGTTTATCAAGACAGTTTGCAGGAAAACGTACGACCAGTTGTCCGCCAACTGAAGCTCCGCAGAGGATGGGTGATGCAACAGGACAATGACCCAAAGCATACAAGTAATTCAACAAAACAATGGCTGCAACAGCACAGAATACGCCTTCTGGAGTGGCCCAGTCAGAGTCCTGACCTCAACCCGATTGAAATGCTGTGGCATGACCTTAAGAGAGCGATTAACACCAGACATCCCAAGAATATTGCTACACTGAAACAGTTTTGTGAAGAGGAGTGGTCCAAAATTACTCCAGATCGTTGTGCAGGTCTGATCTGCAACTACAAGAAATGTTTGGTTGAAGTTATTGCTGCCAAAGGAGGGTCAACCAGTTATTAAGTCCAAAGGTTCACATATTTTTCCTCCCTGCACTGTGAATGTTTACATGTTATGTGCAATTAAACCATGGAAACATCTAATGTTTGTGTAGTATTATGTTCAGCAGACTGTGTTCTTCTATTGCTTGACTTAGATGACGTTCAGAGCACATTTTATGCCCAATTCATGCAAAATTCCACGTAATCCCAAGGGGTTCACATACTTTTTCTTGCAACTGTAAATGGATTTGGTTTCAGTACCCTATCATTAGTCATGTTCTGCGAACCTTCCTTCGAACTGAACATTCAGCTCATCCCTACTTGACATACCAAAATTGTATGCAGAACTGTTCTGAAATTAACCATAATTTAGAGTTCTTTTCATATCTTGCGTGATCTGAAGATAACATAAATATTGTATACTTTCATCTTTCAGGTATACTCTCGTCCCAACATCTGTGATTCTTGGATTTGGAGGTGCCCCATTATGGGCCGCAAAATGTACATATTTGACTATAAGTGGAAATCGATATGCAAAGATCGTAGAAAAAGAAGGCAAGGATATTGTCAGTCAATACTTTGGACTCTTTTTTCTAATATTCCAATCATCAGGTGTATGGGGAAATCTTATTTCATCCCTAATATTTGGACAAACTCCAGATAAAGGTAAATGTACACAAAATAATTAATCATTAAAGGTCTGTAGAAAGATGAGCACACAGTTTTAACCTGTGAGTTTATGTGGAAATAACTACAAGTATTTAACAGGATAAGTAATCAGCTGAGGACTCTAGCTGGGAATCACTACATCAGTAAAACAGTTGAAAACACAAACTGCCACTTGAACTTATTATCAAAAACAGCATTCCTCCCACTGAGGGCGAGAGTAGCTCTAGTAACTTCAGGACAAAATTCCACCCCACTGGTACTGTAGTTCTCTGGTAGCAACTAGGGAGGTACTTCCCACAGTAGCTGGGTCTTCTGGAGAAGCTGCATGCTATAAGTTATAGCGTCTACAAACTATGGTATAGATAATGGAATTTGCACAGCTTATACTTTCTAACTGCTCATCACATTTCTTGAGGTGCTAAAATACCAGGATAGTACAAACACCCTCAAATGACCCCTTTTTGGAAAGTAGACACACCCTAAGCTATCTGCTGAGAGGCATATTGAGTCCATGGAAGATTTTTTTTTTTCTCCACAAGTTTCTGGAAAATGACAAAAACATTTTTTTTACACAAAGTTGTCATTTAAATGATTTATTACTCGCACAAGCCATGGGTATATGTGGAATTACACCCCAAAATACATTCTGCTACTTCTACCGAGTATGGGGATACCAAATGTGTGAGACTTTTTGGAAGCCTAGCCACATACAGGAGCCTGAAATCCAATGACCACTTTGAAAGCCTGAAGGTACGTAACTTCCTCATTTCACTTCCTCAATACCTATCACAGTTTCGAAGGCCCTGACATGCCAGGATAGCACCAAAACCCCCCCTCCCAAATGACCTCTTTCTGGAAAGTAGACACCCCAAGAAATTTAAAAAGAGGCATGGTGAGTATTTTGCAGATCTCATTTTTTCTCACAAGGTTTTGAAATATAAAATAAAATAGAAAAAATGTTTTTGTTTTTTTTTCTTCATTTTCCAAAAACTTGTGGCAACAAATGAGATCTGCAAAATACTTACTATGCTTCTTATCAAATTCCTTGGGGTGTCTACTTTCCAAAAAGGGGTAATTTGGGGGGTTTGGTGCTATCCTGGCATTTCAGGGCCTCCGAAACTGTGATAGGTAGTCTGGAAGTGTAATGAGGAAATAAAGTCCTTTAAAAAGCCTGAAAGTGCTTATTGGATTTTGGGGTCCTGTGTTTAGCTAGACTGCCAAAACATCTCTCACATGTGGTACCCCCATACTCGGGAGAAGTAGCAGAATGTATTTTGGGGAGTAAATCCACATATACCCATGGCATGTGTGAGCAGTAAATCATTTAAGTGACAATTTTGTGTAAAAAAAACAAAACAAATTTTGGTCATTTTCCAAAAACTTGTGGTAAAAAAATAAATTCTTCTGTTGATTCAATATGCCTCTCAGCAAATAGTTTGGGGTCTACTAGATAATGAAAAAAAACTCCTGCGCTCAATGGAACACCTATTAATAAGCAGCACACACTTGCCTCAACCACAAGGAAAGAACATAAAAATACAAAAAATAGTGCAGCGCTAACAACCTATACTAAAATACAAATGAGATAAATGGAAATATCACATATAGAATGCACAATAAATATTCAGTGTTAGGTGCTCATAAAATGAATACTATGTGCAGCAGTCCATAAATGCCAATGATGGTGAAAAATCACAGCAAAACTCTGTGAGGTGATCACAGTGCCACTCAGTGTGCGGTCAATCCACAGATGGCCAAGATGGCCCCTCACCTCCTTGATGCGACCCACTGGGCCAAACAGCTATGTAGGTGACCTTATACACCCAATAAGGTATCATCAAAGGATGGAACATATGGATAGATCCCTCCAATATCTTCTCCTATCTCCTAGGTACTCGATTCCACAAACCCGTCTACGATACCATTAAAAACAAAGAAGATCCTCCATAATGTAATCCAGTTTTAATAATAACATGAATATAAATAAAATGCCCACTCACATGTAAAATGACAAAGATCAGCTTTTTCCCATATCATGGGTGTGTTTCCATGGTTCTCATGCTAAGAAATGCATGCAGCTCCACTTGCTCCACAATCCCTCCTGAAATGGCGCCGACGCCGGCAATGACGTCACAGCGCCAGCGGAAATGATGTCAGTGCGTACCTTAACGCGTTTACGTCCCGATCCACGTAACTTCCTCAGAGTGACACTCTGGATATAGTTTCCTTCTCTTTAATCATGTAACTATTCTATGTTAAGGTATTAATGCGCATGGGTTATACACATCACACAACTGGGGGTGCAGCGTTATGCTGGCAGCTATGGGTTAGTCATCCAGCTCCATCCATCCATCCATCCATCAGGTTGGGTGCCAAAATGGCAAGGAGAGGAATTAGCTCAGCCACAGGAGCCAGAAAGGTGCTTAATAGTGTAATACACACGTCCCAAGGGTGGTTTACCTTTCACGAGTTCATGCACTACTGTTCGTCACGGATAAACCACGCGCACTCTCTGAGTTGGTAATCTGACACGAAGGACATTCCATTATTCAAGAATGATTATATGAACTTTTTTTAGAACCATTTACCAGTTTACATCATCAGTAATGGGCAGCACAGTGGCTGTCAGGAATGGACTGGCCAGCAATGGTGGGACTCGCCTGCCTTATGGGCTGCAGTACCAGGGCTGGCCAGCGGGTGCTCCCAGCAATCAGAGACTCAACCTTGCAGCCAGCTAAACACCTGAAACTGCTTATACTGGTGTATTTAAGGGATGGCCAGACCTGCAGACTCTGCCTTGGTGTGTGTTTTTCCTGGGCCCTGTATCCTGTTCCTGCATCCTGTTCCTGTCTTGTTGCTGACCCTGCCTGATCTGACCTCTGCTGACTTCTCCTGCTCTGACCCCGGCTCGTTCCTGACCATCCCTCTGCCTGACCCTCTGTACCACGCTGCCCGCTACCTGCTGAACCTGGCTTGTGACCCCGACCATTCTCGGCTTGCTCCCCCTGTACCTACCTGCCCGATTGATATTGACCCGGCCTGCCTGACGACGCTTGCATTGTATGTACTGTTATCTGTGGGTGGTTTGGTTTGGTTCGTTTGCACTGTGTTATGTTTTAGTATTGCACTGCGTTTATGTTTGTATTGTTAGTGTCAATAAATTATTTGTTTATAACATATCTGAAGTCTGCGTTTCCCTGCGTCAGTCACACACCTCTGGTCATACCCGGGAGCCCTGACATTACACCAAGGCCAATCCTGACCAGAAGTGGCTGCACAGGGAAGCCATCTTGGTTTGTTGATGGGAAGGATGGATCTTGATGAGGTTGTGTATTTATCTCTGCTAGTGTTTGATGACAGAGAGTATGCTTATCAAACTCTGAAGGAGTATCCCCGGGATGAACTGCTAGAATGTATACGGCTTGCTCATGTTCTAGTAGATCAGGGCACAGAATTTCTCTGAGGTGCAGCCATTGATTCAGATTTGTGCGGAGTTGGTTTCATCTGGTACCCTTGAATGCAGGGATGAATTTTTGCCGCCATTTAGTGCCGATGGTATGGTTATTAGAGGATGATGTGGATTGCTTCTTGGAGCGTTATTCTGCATGTTCACCACAGATACTAAGAGATTGTATAAACGCAGTGCAGTCATTGACCAGACAGGCTTTGTGTAAACTGAGCTTTGTTCAACCCATACTGCAGACATGGACAGATTTGTTGCACCCAGCCTCAGTCAGCCTACAAAAACCCAGTCCTGCTTCTAATCTATTTCCTCAAAGCTCTATTCCTGCATTCCCAACAGCTCCTCCTGCCCTGCTATCTACCGCATGTCAGTACCCTGTCCCCACTCGCTGCATATCCTGCCTTTAACCCTGTAAAAAAGCCCTCTGTAGCAACTGCTCCCTCCCCTGTTCCATCCTCCAACTCTTCTCTGTCTCCAGCTGCTCCATTCGTTTGCAGACCTGCGTTTACTTGCAGTGCTCCAGTAGTTAAAACCAGAAAAAAGCGGAAATTCTTTCCAACCAATACCATCCTGCCAGTATCCAAACCGGTGAGCCTGCCGTCTGAGAACCTGCCTTCCGTGGTTCAGCCTGGTGCCTCGGCACCCGCACTTCAGCCTGAGGTCTGTACCCAGCCTGATGCCTGTACCCAGCCTGATGCCTGTACCCAGCCTGATGTCTGTACCCAACCTGATGTCTGTATTCAGCCTGATGCCTCTACTCAGCCTGATGCCTCTACTCAGCCTGATGCCTCTACTCAGCCTGATGCCTCTCTTCAGCCTGATGCCTCTCTTCAGCCTGATGCCTCTCTTCAGCCTGATGCTTCTACTCAGCCTGATGCTTCTACTCAGCCTGATGCCTCTACTCAGCCTGATGCCTCTACTCAGCCTGATGCCTCCACTCAGCCTGATGCCTCTACCCAGCATGATGAACTGATCCAGCCTGATGATCCTATTAGGCCAGTTGACTTGATGCCCGCTGTTGATCCAGATGATCCGGTACCTGATCCGGTGCCCGCTGTCGTGCCAATTGACTCAGAGCCCGCTGTCGTACCTGGTGACTCGGTGCCCACTGACTTGCCAGATGACGCCAAATGACCTGATACCTGGTGACCCAGTGCCCGCTGTCATACCTGGTGACCCGATGCCCGCTGTCGAGCCAGACGATCCAATGCCTGGTGACTCGGTGCCCGCTGTCGTGCCAATTGAGTCAGAGCCCACTGTCGTGCCTGGTGACTTGGTGCCCACTGTCTTGCCAGATGACGCGGTGCCCGCAGTTGAGCCAAATGACCTGATGCCTGGTGACCCGATGCCCGCTGTCCAGCCAGACGATCCAATGTCTGACCCAGTGCCCGCGGTCATGCCAGTTGACTCGGAGCCCACTGCCTTGCCAGATGATGCGTTGCCCGCTGTCGAGCCAAGTGACCTGATGCCTGGTGACCCGATGCCCGCTGTCCAGCCAGACGATCCATTGTCTGACCCAGTGCCAGCAGTCATGCCAGTTGACTCGGAGCCCACTGTCGTGCCTGGTGACCCAGTGCCTGTCGCTCCGCCTGTAGGTCCGGCGCCCGCTGCTCCGCCTGGGGGCCCGAGACCTGTCGCTCCGCCTGGGGGTCCGGCGCCCGCCGCTCCGCCTGGGGGCCCGAGACCTGTCGCTCTGCCTGGGGGTCCGGCGCCCGCCCCCCCGCCTGGGGGCCCGTGACCTGTCGCTCCGCCTGGGGGTCCAGCGCCCGCCGCCCCGCCTGGGGGCCCGAGACCTGTCGCTCCGCCTGAGGTCTGGCGCCCGCCGCCCCCGCCTGGGGGCCCGAGACCTGTCGCTCCGCCTGGGGGTCCGGCGCCCGCCGCCCCGCCTGGGGGCCCGAGACCTGTCGCTCCGCCTGGGGGTCCGGCGCCCGCCGCTCCGCCTGGGGGCCCGAGACCTGTCGCTCCGCCTAGGGGTCCAGCACCCGCCGCTCCGCCTGGGGGGCCCGATGCCTGTCGCCCCGCCTGGGGGCCCGATGCCTGTCGCCCCTCCTGGGGGCCCGGCGCCCGCCGCTCTGCCTGGGGGCCCAGCGCCCGCCGCTCCGCCTGGGGGCCCGGCGCCCACCTGGGGGGCCCGGCGCCCTCCGCCTGGGGGCCCGATGCCTGTCGCCCCGTCTGGGGGCCCGATGCCTGTCGCCCCATCTGGGGGCCCGATGCCTGTCTCCCCGTCTGGGGGCCCGATGCCTGTCGCCCCGTCTGGGGGCCCGGTGCCTGCTGCTCCGCCTGGGGGCCCGATGCCTGTCGCCCCGTCTGGGGGCCCGATGCCTGTCGCCCCGTCTGGGGGCCCGGTGCCTGTCGCCCCGTCTGGGGGCCCGGTGCCTGCTGCTCTGCCTGGTGGCCCGCTGCCTGCTGCTTCGCCTGGTGATCCGATGTGCCTCCGCCCGGAGTCCAGCCCGATGTGCCTCCGCCCGGAGTCCAGCCCGATGTGCCTCCGCCCGGAGTCCAGCCCGATGTGCCTCCGCCCGGAGTCCAGCCCGATGTGCCTCCCCGGAGTCCTGCCCGATGTGCCTCCGCCCGGAGTCCAGCCCGATGTGCCTCCGCCCGGAGTCCTGCCCGATGTGCCTCCGCCCGGAGTCCTGCCCGATGTGCCGCTGCCCGGAGTCCAGCTCGATGTGCCGCTGCCCCGGTGTGCCGCTACCCGGTGTGCCGCTGCCCGATGTGCCTCTGCCCAGAGTTCTGCCCAATGTGCCGCTGCCCGCGGAATCCTGCCCGGTGTGCCGCTGCCCGGAGTCCAGCCCGATATGCCGCTGCCCGGAGTCCTGCCCGATGTGCCACTGCCAGGAGTCCAGCCCAATGTGCCGCTGCCCGGTGTGCCGCTGCCCGATGTGGCTCTGCCCGGAGTTCTGCCCAATGTGCCGCTGCCCGGAGTCCTGCCCGGTGTGCCGCTGCCCGGAGTCCAGCCCGATGTGCCTCTGCCCGGAGTTCTGCCCGATGGGCCGCTGCCCGGAGTCCTGCCCGGTGTGCCGCTGCCCGGAGTCCTGCCCGATGTGCCGCTGCCCGAGTCCTGCCCGATGTGCCGCTGCCCGGAGTCCAGCCCGATGTGCCGCTGCCCGGAGTCCAGCCCGATGTGCCGCTGCCCGGTGTGCCGCTGCCCGGTGTGCCGCTGCCCGGTGTGCCGCTGCCCGATGTGCCTCTGCCTGTAGTTCTGCCCGATGTGCCTCTGCCCGTGTGCCGCTGCCCGATGGGCCGCTGCCCAGAGTCCAGCCCGGTGTGCCGCTGCCCAGAGTCCAGCCCGATGTGCCGCTGCCCGGAGTCTGCCCGATGTGCCGCTGCCCGGAGTCCAGCCCGATGTGCCACTGCCCGGTGTGCCGCTGCCCGAGGTGTACCGCTGCCCGATGTGCCTCTGCCCGGTGTGCCGCTGCCCGATGGGCCGCTGCCTGGAGTCCTGCCCGGTGTGCCGCTGCCCAGAGTCCAGCCCGATGTGCCGCTGCCCGGAGTCCTGCCCGATGTGCCGCTGCCCGGGAGTCCAGCCTGATGTGCCGCTGCCCGGTGTGCCGCTGCCCGATGTGCCTCTGCCCGGAGTTCTGCCCGATGTGCCTCTGCCCGGTGTGCCGCTGCCCGATGCGCCGCTGCCCAGAGTCCTGCCCGGTGTGCCGCTGCCCGGAGTCCTGCCCGGTGTGCCAGTCTTTGATATCCCGCCAGTTACCAGACCCGGGCGGTGGAACATTTTGCCCAGCTAGGACTGTTTGGAGCGTCCTGAGGCCGCTCCTTCAGGGGGGGTACTGTCAGGAATGGACTGGCCAGCAATGGTGGGACTCGCCTGCCTTATGGGCTGCAGTACCAGGGCTGGCCAGCGGGTGCTCCCAGCAATCAGAGACTCAACCTTGCAGCCAGCTAAACACCTGAAACTGCTTATACTGGTGTATTTAAGGGATGGCCAGACCTGCAGACTCTGCCTTGGTGTGTGTTTTTCCTGGGCCCTGTATCCTGTTCCTGCATCCTGTTCCTGTCTTGTTGCTGACCCTGCCTGATCTGACCTCTGCTGACTTCTCCTGCTCTGACCCCGGCTCGTTCCTGACCATCCCTCTGCCTGACCCTCTGTACCACGCTGCCCGCTACCTGCTGAACCTGGCTTGTGACCCCGACCATTCTCGGCTTGCTCCCCCTGTACCTACCTGCCCGATTGATATTGACCCGGCCTGCCTGAAGACGCTTGCATTGGTATGTATTGTATGTACTGTTATCTGTGGGTGGTTTGGTTTGGTTCGTTTGCACTGTGTTATGTTTTAGTATTGCACTGTGTTTATGTTTGTATTGTTAGTGTCAATAAATTATATTGTTTTAACATATCTGAAGTCTGCGTTTCCCTGCGTCAGTCACACACCTCTGGTCATACCCGGGAGCCCTGACAGTGGCTTAATGGTTAGCACACCTGCCTTGCAGTAAATGGGTCATGGGTTCAATTCCTGACCATGGCACCTCCTGCATGGAGTTTGCATGTTCTCCCTGTGCTTGCATGGGTTTCCTCTGAGTACTCCAGTTTCCTCCCACACTCCAAAGACATGCTGGTAGGTGTATTGATTCCTGTCCAAATTGGCCCTAGTGTATGAATGTGAGTTAGGGACCTTAGATTGTACACCCCTTGAGGATTAGAGACTGATTTGAATGTGCAATATATGTGTAAAGCACTGCATAAATTGACAGCACTATAAAAGTACCTAAAATAAATAAATTATTACACTTTTTGGATTTTACATGCGTTGATGATTGATAACATGCATTTACAGCACTGCACTATTATTTTAACATATTTCTATTCTGGGACTGTTGCCAATACCTTGAGTGCTAGCTGTTACCTTCATATCTATACCTATATTTATATTGATCTTGTGTAATACCATTTTAGTAGTCTATATAATTTTACCAGCACTCGCTTTATCATTGCAGCTCAAACTCTGTCTCCTACACTGGTTAGAACTCAGAACTTACAGCACGTGGGTCATGAGTTCTAATCCCAGTCATGGCTGCATCTCAGTTTGCATGCTCTTTCTGCACGGGTGTGTTTCTGCCAACACTCCAAAGACATGCTGTTAGGTTAATTGGGACTAGTATATATAAAAAAAAAAAAAATCGGTCGTTCAATCAGCTGACGTTACCACCAACAGCAAAAAAATCGTTGATGATTTTTGTCCCGTCTATGGCCGGCATTTTTACTTCTGTCCCTTGCAGAGAGCAGAGAGCTATTATATTTATTTATTTATCGAGTTTATATAGTGCCAGAGGGTTTGCTCAGCGCTGTACAATAGAGGGGGGACAATACATGAAACAGAACAGTAACATCAAACAGTACACAAGGAGTAAGAGGGCCCTACTCTTTCGAGCTTACAATCTAGGAGGGAGGGGGTAGAGGCCCAGGAGGAAACGGCTGTGGGGGATGGAGTGGTAGGAGGAGGGAAGGGCAGCGGCTGTTAGGTGAGGGTGGGGTAGGCTTCGCCAAAGAGGTGGGTTTTCAGGGAGCGCCTGAAGGTGAGGAGGGAAGGTGACAGTCTGATGGATTGGGGTAGTGAGTTCCAGAGGATGATGGAGGACCTGGAGAAGTCTTGCAGTCGTGCGTGGGAGGAGGAGACCAGGGAGCAAGATAGAAGGAGGTCCTGTGAAGAGCGAAGGGTACGGGTAGGGTGGTACCTGGGAATCAGGTCGGTGAGGTAGTTAGGGGCAGTGTTGTGAATGGCCTTATAGGTCAGGGTGAGCAATTTGAATTTAATGCGTTGGGCAATGGGGAGCCAGTGGAGGGAGAGGCAGAGGGGGGTGGCAGAGGTGGAGCGGCTGGTGAGGTGGATGAGTCTGGCCGCTGAGTTCAGGATGGTCTGAAGCGGGGAGAGCCAGCACTGGGGTAGGCCGGTGAGGAGGGAGTTGCAGTAGTCAGGCGTGAGATAATCAGGGAGTGTACGAGTAGTTTAGTGGTGTCTGGGGTAAGGTAGGAGCGTATCTTGGCGATGTTCCGGAGGTGGAGCCTGCATGTGTTTGTAAGTGATTTGATATGAGGTTGAAAGGAAAGGTTTGAGTCCAGAATGACGCCAAGGACCTTGGCTTGCTGGGCGGGATTGATGGTGGTGTTGTTGGTAGTGATGGAAAAGATGGGGGGGGGCGCGGGCTGGGGGGAAGACAAGAAGCTCGGTTTTTGGAGAGATTAAGCTTGAGGAAATGGAGCGACATCCAGTCAGAGATGTCGTTTAGGAGGTGAGTGATGCGGGCGGAGAATGTGGGGGTGAGGTGAGGGGTGGATAGGTAGATTTGAGTATCATCAGCGTAGAGGTGGTAATTGAAGCCGTGGGAGTGTATGAGTTTGCCAAGGGAGGAGGTGTAGATGGAGAAGAGAAGGGGTCCAAGGACAGAGCCCTGGGGGACCCCAACAGAGAGGGGGAGGGAAGAGGAGGTGGCATCGTTGTAGGAAACGCTGAAGGAGCAATGGGATAGATAGGACGAGAACCAAGAGAGAGCGGTGTCTCTGATGCCAAGGGAGAGTAGTTTATTAAGGAGGAGGGGGTGGTCGACTGTGTCAAAGGCCGCGGAGAGGTCTAGGAGGAGGAGGACAGAGTAGTCGCCTTTGGCTTTGGCGGTTAGTAGATCATTGGTGATTTTGAGGAGGGCAGTTTCGGTGGAGTGTAGGGGACGGAAGCCGGACTGTAGTGGGTCAAGGAGGTTGCTGTCAGTTAGGTGGGCGCTTAGGCGATCGAAGACCAAGCGCTCAAGGAGCTTGGAAGTGAGAGTGGCAGCAGAGAAATTGGTCTGAGGTTGTTGAGGTCAGTGGGGTCCAGGGAGGGCTTTTTGAGTATGGGGGTGATGTGCGCATGTTTTAGGGGGGAGGGGAAGACGCCAGTAGAGAGGGAGAGATTGAAGATGTGGGTAAGGGAGCGGATGAGGGAAGAGGGGGGTGACCGGAGGAGTTGAGAGGGGAT